GAAGGGGAAGTAGAGGCAGAAAGGAATGACATCATTTTTTTTTAAAGAGGGAGGGTCTCTCTATGCTGCCCAGGTGGGAGTGCAGTGGCTATTTGCAACAGTGATTGTAGCTCCCTGCAGCCTCAATCTCCCAGGCTCAGGTGATCCCTCTGCCTCAGCCTCTGAAGTAGCTGGGACTACAGGAGATCACCAATACCCCAGCTCTAGAATGACTACTCAAAGAGCCATCTAAAATATAGGGCTGGACACGTGGCTCATACCTGTAATCCCAGCATTCTGAGAGGCCAAGGAGACAAAGACCCCCATCTTTAAAAATAGCTGGGTTTTATGGTGGCCACCTGTAGTCCCAGCTACTGGGGAGGCTGAGGCAAGAGGATTGCTTGAGCCCAGAAGTTTAAAGTTGCTGTGAGCTATGAAAGCATGGCACACTACCAAGGGTGACAAGGTGAGACTGTCTCAAAATGAATAAATAAATAAAAATAATAAATTAAAAATTATTAAAAATAAAATAAATAAGGCCAGGAGAAATAGATTCCCTATAATCTATGCCTATAATCCTAGCATTCTGGGAGGCCAAGGCAGATTGCCTGAGCTCATGGCTTTGAGACCAGCCTGAGCAAGAGCGAGACCTGTCTCTAAAAACAGCCAGGCATTGTGGTGGGCACCTGTAGTCCCAGGTACTTGGGAGGCTGAGGCATGAGAATGGCTTGAGCCCAGGAGCTTGAGGTTGCTGTGACTATGACACTAGGGCACTCTACTGAGGGCAACAAAGTGAAACTCTGTCTCAAAAAATAATAATAAATAAATATAATATTAAAAATTCCTTTCCTCAGTCACACTAGCCACAGCTCAAGGGGCCAATGGCCATGCATAGCTAATGGCTGCCACAGTGGACAGTGCAGATTAAAAAAATGGCCATCATCAAAGAAAAATTTGTTAGAGATGCATGGTTTCGGATATATACAAGATATTTAAATACCTAAGGATGGCTGGGGCGTGGTGGTCACGTCTGTTATCCTAGCATTTGGGGAGTCTGAAGTGGGAAGATCACTTGAGGCCAGAAATTTAAAACCAGCCTGAGCAAGAGGGATAACTTGTCTCTACAAAAAAACAGAAAATTAGCCTGGCATGGTGGCACGTACCTGTAGTCCCTGCTACTTGGGAGGCTGAGGCAAGAGGATTCCTAGAGCTCAAGAGTCTGAGACCAGCCTAAGCAAAAGCAATACCCTGTCTACAAAAAGTAGAAAAAGTAGCTAAGCATCATGGCAGACACCAGTATCCCAGCTACTCAGGAGGTTGAAAACTGAAGCCCAGAAGTTTGAGGTTGCTGGGAGATAGGATGACGCCACTGCACTCTAGCCCAGGTGACAGGGCAAAACCTTCTCTCGAGAAAAGTTTTTAATTTTAAAAACTAAAAAATAAAAAGTTTGCCAACCTCTGGTCTAGGTAATACCCCATTCGCCTCAGAAATACAATACGGTTCATGTCCCAACTTCTTTGACTAACACCGTGGCACAGGAAATCATCCTAATGAGATCAAACCACATTTTGGCCATAAAACCTCAGCAGGACCCCTTCTTCTGGAAAAAAGGCCTTCCTTAGACCACCTTTACAAGTCTGCCCCCACTCCCTGCCTACAGTCCTCCTGCATACTTGGTTCAGATTTTAATCTTATTTGCTTAACGTAAGTAAATCAAGCAACCTTCCTTATTACCACCCTAAAAGTAGAAAATCTGCAAAAAAATGCCGTAAAAGCTGAAGCCACTAACCTGGCAAATGAACGTTACTGACAACCAAATTGTACTGTTACCTTTTAGGGCGGTAGCATGCTGCTATCTAAAGTCCGTTCTGTCTTTATTAAAAAGAGAGTGAGAAAATATCAGAGATGCTAATAAAGACATCTTAGCACGAAGCCCAGCCTGTGCTCAGAGACTTAAAGGAAATAAGGGAGGAGGCGCTTTTGATTGAGTGTAATGATTTCTAATGCTAGGCTCCTAGTCCCTTCAGGAAACCTGCCTCAGCCACCTATCCGTGGACACCATTCCTCCATGAATGGTGAATGGAGCTTTTGCTTTTCGGCTTTAGAGAATCGGGTGACAGAGACACCCTAAAGCTGCAGTGTCAGGCAAGAACCTGGAATGAAGCAAAAATCATCCTTCCCAAGGAAGGCACCCTCTCGGAACCCTTCTAGGATGACCCAAAACTGGTTTGGGAGAATGCAAGAAAAAGATCCCTGGGAAGACAGCTCGAGCTCCACATAAGAAAAATGCTAGAAGTCGCAGAAAATCCCCCGGATCAGCCTGCCAAGTTAGTTCCCCAAAGAAGAGGTTTTACAGAAGATCATCCACATAGACATGTTCCTCATTTCTCAAAGGGTCAAGTCCTCACATCCACCAAATGCAGGCACTGACCACTCAGGAGAGTTTTACCCGACTTCATTTACCGTGCTTATTTCCCGGAGGGCAAAGGGACCGCCTGGTCCCAATACACATCTTCTCCCCAGCCCAGGTCAGCAATAGAACCCTCTGTCCAACTGAAGTTGCTCATGGATCCACAATATGTACAACAAATATAGGTAAATACTGCCCAGTTTGGAAATGTGCATGAGAGATGCCTTACCCCAGCTAGCCCCTTACCTCCACTGACCCACCCGAGGTACCCCAAGGATCAGTAAGGTTGAAAACCACCGCTATAAATCCCTCAAATTCTCCCTGACAAATGCCTCCCCATCTGCCCATGGGAAACGGGAAGGCACCATCTCCCCACTAGGGGGCAACATACCAGAGCCTTGGTTGGAGCCTGAGACCGCAGAAGAGGATGTCTCTCTGGAGCCAGAAAGATCGAGGGTCTAGAAACACAAAAAGGAAAAAGAGGCACTCAGGGCACTGGGGCCAACGCAGCCCCCAGGGAAGCCCAGGGAGTCAGTGCTCACCACTGCTTCCAAAGCTGGCAGTGCTCTCTGCCTGGCATGGCCAGGAGGGCCTGGGGCGTGCAGGTCGGCCAGTGAGGCCACACGCATCGCACTGTCTCTCAGACCTAACAGGCTAGAACTAGGAGAGCTGACATAAAACAGTCACAGTTTCCTAAACTCCACTGGGAACCTACCCATCCCTCCAGATTTTTGCCATAAAAAGAAAGAAGTCTATTAACTCAAAATTACATCAACTCACTATTTTTTATTTCATGTTTGCCTCTGACTAGGCAATACTATTTAATACAATTTAACTGAGCGTCTAGCAATTTATCTCTTTCCTAATACACACTGAAATACATACACAGTGACTAAAAATGTAAGACAGTACTGATGGGCCCCTAAAATAGTCTTTGCCTACAATCGATGCCCCACCAAACCACACACCGGGAACAAAGGGGATGATGCAGACGGTTATGGTCCAATACGACGGCCTCTGGGTACATGTGGCTCTTAAAAGTAAACTAATGAAAATTAAATAAAATTAAAAATTCAGGTCCTCAGTCACACCAGCCACACTTCAAGTGCTCAAAAGTAACGTATGGCTACTGGCTACCAGATTAGACAAGGAAGATAGAGAACATTTACATCCTAGCAGAAAGTTCTAGTGGGCAACACCGTTCTAAACTTGGAGGTGTCTGAGGACCAGGGAGCAGATGCCACATCCCCCATGTGGAAACTCAGCCTCCACGTTCCCACACGCCCACTGGCGATCCTGGTACACTGGTAGGAGAGCCCTCGTGAGACTGTCATCCTTCCAGACAAATTCTTATGACATGGAACTTCCAAGGGTGGCCTTAGTCTCGCTTGGCACAAAGGGTTGGTATGGGGGATTCTCACCGAGCCACTGTCCTTGCTTTTCTCAGCTGATGTCTCCTTCTCTTTGGAGGCGCTGGCTGATTCTGAAGGCGCTGACTGGGTGCTGGAGGAGCTCCCCTGGGAAGACTTGTTCTGTGTTTCTGTGTTCACCTCTGTATCCGTTTCCTGCTGAGGGGCGGTAGCTGGGAACAAAGGGGAGAGCAGCTATGGGTAGGCCAAGTGTGGTGGTTTCAGGACCTGTGTGGAGCTCCCTCCCCACCTGCACCCTGAGGTGCCCACGGCTCAGTAGCAACCCTGACCCAACCAAGATCTGTACGAGGCAGCAGTGGCTCAGCCCCAGCCAGGGCACACGTGCAGGCCCAAAGCGGCCAGATCCTCAGAGTTTTCCAGAAGCTGGAATTCCAAATTTCACATGATAATGTTGAGTTTGTTTAATAGATAGCAATTCAAATTTTAGTAAATCATTCTGACGATGGGAGTTTTGTTCTCAGAACAAATGAAGTCCACCAACAAGAGCCAACCTGAAATGGCCAGTTTAAAATCACACTCTACGTCGTAATTTCTGGATGTCTACCAATTTTAGCCCAAGGACTTGCTCCCTCTGAGGCAGGGTAGGGAAACCCACGTGCAAAGCAATGAACAGTCAGAGCTACAGGGAGGGAGACAGCAGAAACGTGAACAAACAGAAAAAAAGGGTGCGTAGGGAGAATTGAAGAACAAATAACATAATTATGCCACCAAAAAAGAAAAGCTGAAGGACATTTTGGCCATCTTGCAGTAACAACAAAAAGCTCATCACACACGTTCTAGAACTCAGGGAAAACAGAGGCAGAATTAAACTTCACCGCAGTAACAGACTTAAACTCTCTATAAAGAAGACATCTCCCTAAGGAGAGTTAAAGAACACAGCAAATACACACCTTTAAATATCACCTTAAAAAAATAAAAACATAACAGATTTGTCTAGAGGAGGAGTGGGCAAACCAAGCGCCGCCTGGTTTTTTGTAAATAAAGTTTTATTGGCACACAACCACGTCCACTGGCATTATCGGTGGCTACTTTTTTTTTTCTGAGAGACAGAGTCTCACTTTGTCACCCTCTGTAGAGTGCTGTGCCATCACAGCTCACAACAACCTCAAACTCTTGGGCTTTGGAGATTCTCTTGCCTGAGCCTCCAGAGTAGCTGGGACTATAGGCACCTGCCACAACACCCAACTTGTTGTTGTTGCAGTTGTCATTGGTGTTTTAGCTGGCCAGGGCTGGGGGGTTCGAACTTGCCACCCTCAGTATATGGGGCCAGCACCCTACCCACTGAGCCACAGGCACCGCCCTATCTATGGCTACTTTTGCACAAGGGTAAAAAGTAGCTGTGACAGACCACATGGTCCACAAAGCCAAAAAATGTTTGTCAACCCCCCTGGTCTACAGCTTCTCAAACTTGAGTCATTCATACATCACCTTCGAAAATTTTGCCACCCCACAAACATACTCACCTATGTTCACACCTTAAAATTCTTTAAAATGGAGACTTAATCCTAAGCATACAAAGACAGTATCATTTGCCACAAATAAAAGCTAACTAAAAAAATTAACTTTTAAAATATTATTCATAAATTCCAACTAATAGTGTCTTTTAGACAGTGCATCCCGCTGGTGGCTCCAGACCTACGTACTCTGTTATAATGGGGCACCACAAACTTTCTAGCAGGGTCAGTGACACTTTTTCCTTAACAGAAACATTAGTAACATTATTGAAAGCCATGAGTCTATTATTGCCAACAAAGCAGTTTCTCAACTTCGGTACTACTGACATTCTTTCAGGCCAGATCATTTTGGTTTTCTTTTCCTTTTTTGGTGTAGGGGAGCAGGGGAGATGATCCTGGTGTGTTGGAGGGTGTTTAAGAGCGCCTCTGGCCTAAGAGATCAAAAATTATGCAAAGATCAGAGGCTCAAAACCCTTGTGCCTTGTTTCACAGCTGTTATGTCTGCACATGGCTTGCTTGTACATAAGGGACATGGATGTTTTTAAGTGGCCAGGGGCCAGGAAGCCACACTTGCTGCATCAGCCTGTGAGACTCACAGGAGAGTGGAGACAGCCCTCGGGTGTTACCTGACTGGGTGCAGGACTTCATGTGCTCCGGCCAGTGGGCCTGCTGGCAGGGGTAGTCACAGTAGCTGGTATTCCAGCAGCAGTAGAAGATGGCCTCCTTCTTGCAGTTGGCACACCACTGCTTCTTCTTGGTCTCGTCCACCGCCTGCTGCTTCTCCAGCTCCAGCTGCTTCTTGACCTCGGCGATCAGCCGGTCCCGCTCCTGCTCCAGGCTCTGCCGCATCTCAGCCATGGTCAGTTCTGCAGGGGAGGGACACTGCTGCATCATCTGAAATCAGCCCAGGCTCCAAGGCAAGGCATGCCCCAGATTCAGGCCAACATGTAAGTCCTGGCTTAGCAAAGCCCTGGGGGTGTGACCGTGGGCAAGTACCCCAGCAGGTGATGTCATCTGTAAACAAGACACCATCACAGTGACCAGGTATGTGGCTGGTGATAATATCCATGAGGTGCCCAGAGCTTTACAGTGATTCTACACCCAAGACAACATTCTGGGAATTCCCCAAACAAACCCTTGAAACAAAAGCCACCAAAACCGGCTTTCAATTTTACCCGTGAAAAGACAGATTTTAAAAAGTACATGGAAATACACAAGCATTTTTCTATCACTCAAATACTTACATAGCATCTACCATATGTAAATAATTCTGATAATACTCCAGTGGGTTAAGAACTACTATTCTACCCCTTTCACAGATGAGAAAACTGAGGCACACGGCTAATAAGTAAAGAACGAGGCCTAGAACTCAGAAGCACTTTCTTGCAGACTCGTCTTGTGGCTTTGGATCAAATCTACCAGACAGGGCATTGTAACTGATGATCATGTTTTTTCCCTTTAATCCTATGAAAGAGCGGATGATCATGGTAATGGGACAACGAACAAAATGCTCAGTCTACTGAGATTTCTTCTAATTTTATTTCAGACAGTAGGTCCGTCTGCAATTCATTTGAGAGTGACCTATATACTGAAATGAAAGAACTGATGGTCCTTCAATTCCTCCAAATATTCTTCCTGATATTCAAAAAACAGTTTATAAAATTAACTTTTTGAAAAGAAGTTTGGAAACTACGTGTGACCAGACAGAATCTTTCCGTCAATCTAATAAACTTTAACTAGGAGCCTGTAAACCACGGCCAAGTTCTGGCCAGCTCACATGTAATTCTTAAAAGGCACAGCCAATGTTTTTAAAGTTAAAGATCTTATAAAAATAAGATTCTCTGATTTTATTAGAAAAACAGGAAGAAGCAACCAACACCCATGGCATGGAAGCAGGGTATGGAATAAAAAGCCCCTCTCTCAGTGGCTCACTCAGGGATTCCAGTCCATCTATAGGCTTCAAGGAATTTAAATCCGGACCACAGCAAGCAGGTAGAAGTACCTGGACCTGGCTCTCTAACCAGAGTTCCACTTGCTTCAAAGCATCCATCCTGACTGTTATTACAAGAGGGGCTGAAGCAACTGCTTCTGCCTTTGGGGAGAAAGTCTTTTTTTTTTTTTTCGAGATAGGGTCTCAGTTGCCCATAGTAGAGTGCAGTGGCATCATCACAGCTCGCAGCAACCTCAAATGCCATCCTCCTGGCTCAGCCTCTCGAGTAATTGGGACTACAGGTGCCCACTACTAATAATGCCCAGGGTCTCATTCTTGCTCAGGCTGGTCTCAAATTCCTGAGCTCAGGTAATCCTCTGGCCTTGGCCTCCCAGAGTGCTAGGATTACAGGCATGAGCCACCCTGCACAGCCAAGAAAGTCTTTAATAGGAAGCATCTAGACCAGCGGTTCTCAACCTGTGGGTGGTGACCCACAGGAACTATACTAAAGGGTCACAGCATTAGGAAGGTTGAGAACCACTGATCTATATACTTGCTAAAGTACCCCAAATTTTTTCTCCTCCTTTTTTTTTTTTTTTTTTTTGGAGACAGAATCTCAAACTGCCACCCTGGATAGAGTGCCACGGCATCACAGCTCACAGCAACCTCTCACTCTTGGGCTTAAACGATTCTCTTGCCTCAGCCTCCCAAGTAGCTGGGACTACAGGCACCCACCACCACACCTGGCTATTTTTTGGTTGTGGCTGTCATAGTCACTTGGCAGGCCAGGGCTGGATTCAAAACCACCAGTTTTGGTGTATGTGGCTGGCGCCCTAGCCGCTTGAGCTACAGGCACCGAGCCAAAGTACCCAACTTTCAATGATTAACAGGGAACACCTGCAGCCAGAGCATCCAGACTTGAATGTGGCTGTGTGACCTGGAACAACTTCCTTAACATTTCTGTGTCATAGTTTCTTCACATGGAAACTGGAGATATAACATGTCCCTAGCTCCTAAGAGTCTGTGTAAGAATTAGTTTATTTAAAGGTTCTGTAAACCATTCCTGGTGAGAGTTGAATGAGCAGGTGCTACTGGGATGCTCGCTATCAAATTCCCGTTGTTGGCAGTCTGCTGAGAGGAAAGGAGGTCTCCACCAGCACCTGCTGTATACCTGGTGCCTTGAGGATTCTGTGTTCTCCCACAGGTCATACAGCCACTAGTTTAGTTTTAGCTCCATTCCCATCTGGGATGAACTGTAGAGGGGCAAAGAAGTTCACACCCCAAACCTTCCCAATTCCAGACCAATTCGTCAGGCCTTACCCAAGTTGTGTTTCATTTCAGAGAGCTCTTGCTGGTGCAGCCACTGAAGCTTCTCTATCTCAATCCTCAGCCTGCGGATCTGGAATGAGGGAGAGGAAGAGTCTTCAAAAAGCTGTTTGCATGCCATTCCCACTAGCTGGGTGTCACCATTATGAGCATCATGGGGTCAAACAAGGACACAGTGCCCTGGCTCTATGTTGACCTTCCCACCACCACAGGCCAGAGGTGGCCCCAGTGGGTTAACTCATATCCACCAGAAAAACTGGCTCAGAAAGTAAGTACAAACAGGACATCTTTTCTAAGAAACATTGGCACAAGAAAAACCACTTAAAGCAGCAGTTCTCAACCTGTGGGTCACGACCCACAGGAACTATACTAAAGGGCCACGGCTTAACGGGATGACAAGGACCAGATTTTCATATAAACAATATGTTATAAGTTTGACTAAGATGTTGGTCTAAAGAATGAAAGAAAATCAAGATAGCTTTCTTTTCTCTCGTCTCACCAACATTGAAATAGTTGGGTCCATCATTTTTCACCTAAAACCCCAAACCTGACATCTCTGAAAAATAAAGGGTGTGTTCAGGGGGCCAAACTCATTTGGGAGGAGGAAAAAAATAAACCCAACCTGAACTGTTATGAGGCTAAACCGTGTTTAATTATCACAGCGGTTCTCAAATTGGGGTGATTTTGCCCAATTATCTAGAATAAGACTGGGTCGTCACAAGTGGGAACTGTTACTGGCACCTGGTGAGCAGCAGAGGCCAAGGATGCAGCTACACACGCCTCAGTGCACAGGACAGTCCCCACCACAGCGAATTAGGGGTGCAAACATCAATAGTGGTGAGACTGAAAAAATTTGATTTGCTAAAGTGAACAATTACATTTCACTGCATAAACGTTCTCTCTTAACTGTGGGAGACCGCTTATTACCTCTCTAAAATCAAGAACTTACAGCACACATCTGGACCCCAAGATTTCGGGTGAGACGTTACGTAACCATATTTTTAAGCACACACCTCTATACATACGGAATAAGGTCTCACTCTGTCACCCAGGTCAGAATACAGTGGTATGATCACCGCTCACTGTAGCCTCAAACTCCTGGGCTCAAGCATCCTCCCACCTCAGCCTCCTGAGTAATGGGACTACAATGTACACCACCAAGCCTGGCTAATTTATTTTTTGTAGGGACAGAATCTTGCTCAGACTAGTCTTGAATTCCTGGCCTTAAGCAATCCCCTCACCTGTTCTCCCCGTGCTCACACATGTTTTTCTTTTTGAGACAAAGTCTTGTTCTGTCACCCAGGCTAGAGTGCAGTGGCATAATCGTAGCTCACATCAACCTCAAAATCTTGGGCTCAAGCAATGCCCCTGCCTCAGCCTCCCAAGTAGCTGAGACTATTACACCCAGCTAATTTTTCCTTTTCTTTTTTTTTTTTTTAAAGAGTCAGGGTCTCCCTTTAGCTCAGGCTGGTCATGAACTCCTGACCACAAGGGATCCTTCTGCCTCAGCTTCCCAAAGTGCTGGTGTGATCCAAGGTGCCCAGCCTTCACACACCAATTCATTAAATGAACAAAAAAGAATGAAGCTTTTATTTTTCGCTTCTTTGATGTCCCTATCATACTCATGTAGAGAGGCGTATTTGCAAAATTATTCAAGGGGACACTGACTTCTCTTGGGGCCTCTCTCACATCCACACTGTTCTCTGTTGAGGTGATGACCAACTGGCTTCCTTAAGAACTCTCTTCTCTGGGTAGCAGTTTAACACTGTGAAGTTGTCAAACATCATTGGTGGCTATGCATGGGAGTCCCAAAGTTCTCCAACATTGCCTTCAACGACCTCACAAAACCCTGTCCCGTGCCATTTTACCTGGTGACCATTTACATCTGGCCCACACTGCACTTCCTGTCCCCCAAGCAGCCTACTGTCCAAGCCTTGGTAGTGAATTACCCTAAGAGAGAATTTCAGGGAGGTACATTTTTGTAAGTGGTCACTTTTTAAGTGGATAAAGTTTTAATCATTTTCTTCTCTAGGCAATCACGGAATTGTGGAAACTCCAGTACACAATTCTTGGACGACAGGATCACTTACATTAACAATTCCAAATTTATGGAGAAGGTTAAGGAGCTAATTTCCCATGAAGCAAAAAGAACTGGTTTCCAGTTTCACCAACGAGTTAACTGGGGCACTGGTTTGGGTTGTTTTATTAGAAGTGAATTCATCACCCAGAGCAGGGCACGTCCCCACAGCCAAAGCTGTCGAGCTAAATGAAGAAATACCCCATCAACAACCCCCATCAGGACAGCCAGCGTAGAAACAGGAGTCAGGACCCAAGAGAGATTTCCAGAGAAGTGTCTCCACGGTGTCACCTTTGCAGCAGCCCATAAAACACTCTCAGCAAATAAGGAATTCATGTGTCATCTCTGACCTCGGCTATTGTGCTTCCAGTAGTGTTTTTAGAAAGATCGTTATATATTTCTGTCATCGTTCCTTTTATTGCGTCCATCATCTGAAAGACAAAAAAAGAAATAATTTAGGTGACTGCTGTCTAGAGGCTTTTCTCGGTGACATAGATCTAAGACTGATCTATAGAAAGCAACGGTCCCCAACTCAGGGCCGTTCTATCCCTCATGAGACACTGGTTGTTCCTGGCTGTCATGACCAGGGCAGGAATGGGGAGAAGGGGTGCCACTGGCCACCAGCAGGTGGAGGCAGGGCTGCTGCTGAAAGTCCTACGATGCACGAGACAGCCTCCAAGACAAGGATGTCACCAGTGTCACAGGTTGAGAAACCTCGTTATAAACCCGGGGAGGAAATGACCTACAAATTCCTTGTCTCATATACGTAGTATTGTAAGAGCAGTTCACAACATAAAGCTAGTTTGTTTTTGTTGAGACAGAGTTTCACTCTGCTGTCGTGGGTAGAGAGTGCCATGGCACTCGCTCACAGCAACCTCAAACTCCTGGGCTAGTAGACTGATCCCCCTACCTTAGGCACCTGCATCAATACCTGGCTAGTTTTTCTACTTTCAGTAGAGATGGGGTCTCCAACTCCTGAGCTCAAGTGATCCACCTGCCTCGGCCTCCCAGAGTGCTAAGATTATAGGGGTGAGCCACCATACTCTTCATAAAGCTAGTTCCTACGGCTAAAACAGAGAGGCCAAATTTGGGCACCCCTATAGGTTTGAGGGAGGGATCATTTTCTGTGTTACTGCTTTTTAATTGTTTCCTCTTTAAAAACAAAACAAAACAAAACAAAACACTGTTCTACTGAGATACGATGCATCTACCATACAATTGACACATTTAAGACATACAGTTCAGGGCGGTGCCTGTGGCTCAGTGAGTAGGGCACCGGCCCCATATACTGAGGGTCTGGCCCGGGCCCAGCCAAACTGCAACATAAAATAGCTGGGTACTATGGCGGGCACTTGTGGTCCCAGCTACTAGGGAGGCTGAGGCAAAAGAATTGCCTAAGCCCAAGAGCTAGAGGTTGCTGTAAGCTGTGATGCTACAGCACTCTACCAAAGGCGACTACAAAATGAGACTCTGTCTCTTAAAAAAAAAAGAAAAGAAAGCAAGCCAGAGCTTTAGAAGTATTCGGAAACACAGAAATTGATAAAACATATAGTTCAATGGCTTTTAGTATATCCAGAGTTGTACACCGACCACCAAATTTCATAATCCCCCGAAAGAAAACTCAACACCTGCCTGGACTCCCCCACCATAGCCCTATTCCCTCCTCCCCGCCCCCCCCAGCCCTAACAACCATTCACTCCTTTTAGTATCCATGGAATTTGCTTAATCTGTACATTTGGGATAAATGGCCTGAAGGACAAGGTCCTTTGTGATGGCTTCAAAGTGGATCTGTGTTGTGGGGCAGAAGAGAATGCCATTTCCTTTCTATGGCCCATTGTGTGGCTATGGCTGCTTTGTCATTTTAACACCCGCACCCCAAGCATTGCCTTTGCAGTTCATTTCCTATCTCCCTTTTCTTTAACTCTCTGATCCTGAGAGGCTTCAACAAGTTTGTGAAATCAGCACAGGTCCATGCTGCAAGTACCCAAGGTGCCAACCCAACCCAGTGTGGTTATAGAACAAATTTCTCTTCTACCTCCCACCTGCCTGCAGACCCCACCATCATCTCAGGAGAAAGGGGAGGAGACAGGAGACCAGGCCTGGCCTGACTGCTGCCCAGTTTCACCTGTGCTATCCAGATGCTTCACTTCGCTGAGAAGGCAGAACAAAGGGCACCCTTAGCACCCATATTTTCTCTTGGTTTCCTCATGTAAAAAACAAGGATAATAACAGTGCCCCTGGTAGGGCAAGCGCAAGGATGAAATAAGAAAACCACATGAAGACTATGGTTCAGTGCCCGCCATGGACACAAGTCCTCATAAAGAAATACCTACTCATCTTATTTTTGTAAAAAAATAAATTCATAAGGCCAGGTGTAGCGGCTCATCCCTATAATCCTAATTTGCATCCTCTGGGAGGATGCGAAAGGTGGACTGCCTGAGCTCAGGAGTTGGATACCAGCCTGAGCAAGAGCCAGACCTCATCTCTAAAAATACAGACAGGCATTGTGGTGGGCACCTATAGTCCCAGCTACATGGGAAGCTGAGGCAAGAGAATCACTTGAGCCTAAGAGTTTGAGGTTGCTGTGAGCTAGAATGCCACAGTACTCTCTTAACACGACAAAGTGATATTGTCTCAAAAAAAAAAAAAAAAAAAGACAGAAAGAAAAGAAAATTCATATGAGCATGCAACTGTGTAACTGTGGCTAACCTCCAAAACAGTAACCCCAAATTCACCCCAAAATGGGAATAAAAATGTATAAAATGTCTGTTGAGATTTCTACTCCCAGCTTGCTTTGGGGGCCAACCCCAGGCCACTGCCAGCAAAAACACTCTTGTATTTTATGCGGCTTTGCAGCCCCTCATTCTCCACAGGCCTCCTTACTCTACAGGCACTGACCATGTCAATTAAAAAAACTGAAAATAAACTGCTCTTACAAGAAAACCTTAGAAAGTGGATGAAATTCAATACATTGCTAATGCAATGGTTACACTCCATTTCAAAGATATCAAAAATTTGTGAACTTTTACTCTAAATTTCCAAATATAGCAAAGAACCCAACATTAATAAAAGTGCCCTTCTGCCAAAACATGCAAATCTGGGTCTCCAGCTCCAGGTCATCTAAGAGATACGAAAATTCATCAGCTCCCCCCAAATGTCACCATGTTCATTTTGTTAAGGGCAAAGAAAACATCTATCAAAAAGATCATGCCTGTGGCTCAGTAGGTAGGGCACCGGCCCCACATACCGAGGGTGGCAGGTTCAAAGTCGGCCCCGGCCAAACTACAACAAAAAAATAGCTGGGCATTGTGACAGGCGCCTGTAGTCCCAGCTACTCAGGAGGCTGAAGCAAGAGAAGCATCTAAGCCCAGCAGTTGCAGGTTGCTGTTAGCTGTGACGCCACAGCACTCTACCGGGGGCAATAAAGTAAGACTCTGTCTCTAAAAAAAAAAAAAAAACAGAATGTCTTCTAGACTGGTGTCAGTATTTATTTCATTCATAAACCAAAATTTCAGTATAATATGTTCATTGTCAGGAAGTTCAGGTGTGTAAATTGCCATCCACTGTTATTGACTGATATGAGACAGATGTTGAAAAGACAATTTAAATTTACTCTTCCAAACTTCAACTGTTCCACAAAAGCACTATAAAAACTCCTTCGAGATTTTAGGTTGTGCTTGACATTTATGGTTAACTACATACATAATTTGGTCGTGTCATACCAAATTAATAGAGAGTGACATAAGAGACAATTTTAAGTAGAATAAAAAAAATCATTTAGGAAATGCCAGGCATTTAAAAAAAAAAAAAAAGAATCTTTAATCAATCATTTTTCAAAAAGCTTACTTATTTTATTTGGAGGGAGGGTCACAATTTGTTGCCCAGGCTATGGTGCAGTGGTGTCACCATAGTGCACTGCAACCTCAAACTCCAGGACTTAAGCATCCTCTTGGCTCGGACTTCAAATAGCAAGGGCTCCAGGGGTGCACCCCATGCCCACATGATTTCTGTATTTGTAGAGACACAGACTCACTATATTGCTCAAGCTGGTCTAGAACTCCTGGCCTCAACCGATCCTCCCACCTCAGCCTCCCAAAGTGCTGGGTTTACAGGTATAAGCCACCACACCCAGCCCAGACACCTTAAATCAGTAATGAAAAGTCTGCCCCCTTCCAATTCTCTAACAATCCTGCCGATCCCTTTAGTAAGAAAGTCTCAGTTTATTGCTAAAGGTTTTTAACACTTTCACAACAACATCCCCCTTTTAACAAAAGAAAAATAAGACTTAGGCTTCAAACCTTGAAGAGAACAATATCTGGGTGAGGCTAAAGCTAACTTTATTTAGATTTAAAAAAAAAAAAACTAAGTCAATTTAAGGAAAATAAATTTAAGTTTAAAATAAAAATATTGGGCTGAGCACAGTGGCTGACGCCTATAATCTTAGCACTCTAGCAGAGGTAGGTGGATAGCCTGAGCTCAGGAGTTCGAGTCCAGCCTGATCAAGAGCAAAACTCCATGTCTCTACTAAAAGTAGATAAACCAGCCCGATGTGGTGGTACATGCCTATAGTCCCAGGTCAGAAGCAGGAGGATCGCCTGAACTCAGGATTTCGAAACCAGGTTGAGCAAGACCAAGACCCTGTATCTATACTAAAAGCAGCTAAACTAGCTGGATGTGGTGGTGCACGTGTGTAGTCCCAGCTACTCAGAAGGCTGAGGCAGGAGGATTGCATGAACCCAGGAGTTGGAGGCTGCTGTGAGCTAGACTGAGGCCATGGCACTCTAGCTGCAAGACTTTGTCTCAGGAGAAGGGGAAAAAAAAAAAAAAAAAAGAAAGAAAAAGAGGATGGCTTCCATCTCACTAGCAGCTCTCATGTCCACCATGCTGGACAGCCCATAAAGCAAGGAAGAGACATGAAATGAATCCTGCCCATAGCCACCCAAGTGACCTTGGAAGTAAATTTAAATTCTTCCCCGTCGAGCCTTCTTATGAGACTCCGAGTGTAGACACTTTGACTACATACAGCCTGCGAGACATCCAAGGCAGACGCCCAGATAAGCCATGTCCAGACTCCTGACCCATAGAAAAGTAACATAATAAATAAATGTCTGTGTTAAGCTGCTAAGTTTTGTGGTTATTTCTTCCACAGTAATAAGTAACAATTATACCTGGACAGAAGGGATAATGGTGAGTGAAAAGTCAGTGGTTAAACATAAAAAACATACGAATTAAAAATCTAATTTTCAATGTCAAAAAAGAAAAAAAAATACATATTTCTCTCACCATTCAGAATTCAAAAAAGATTCTACACAATATAAAGTGACTCTTTGAAACTGAAACTCTGAAAATTCTAAAAATAACTATTCACAGCACTTTTTATGCATTCACTCCTTAAACGCGAATAGTTTACTCATTGGCAAGTAATCTGATAATTAGTAAAAAATTAAGTTGTTCTTACCTACTTAAGAATTTACTAATACCCTTAGCAGATTACTCCTCTTTATCTATCATAAGGTTACTGATAATAATAATATGAATGAAGACAAAGCCCAACTATTATGTATTCGGCACCTACTGTATACCAGGTACTGTAGGTCTAGGCCTTGGCAGTGATTGAAACATCATCCCTGCCCTTGTGGAGCTGACCCATTGGTGGCTGTTGCCCTCCCGAGTGGTCTACTGAGAGCACGCACAGCACATCACTCCTAAGCAGCAGGAGACCGCTCACACACATGGAGGTGTTAACGCTGATTTCATTCACACGAATTCAATCATGAACACAAAAGCACTTGGCAAATGAAGAGAGGAAAAGAGAAGCCAGGCACAGCGGCTCAGGCCTGTAATCCCAGCACTCTGGGAGGCCAAGGCAAGTGGATCACCTGAGTTCAGGAGCTCGAGACTAGCCTGAGCAAGAGTGAGACTCCATCTCTACTAAAACAGAAAAACTAGGCAGGCATTCTGCCGGGTGCTTGTAGTCCCAGCTACTTGGGAGGCTTAGGCAAGGGGATTGCTTAAGCCATGACACTATCCAGGGAAACGGAGTAAGACTCTGCCAAGCAAAAAAAAAAAAGAAAAGAAAAGAAAGAAAGAAAAGAAGAAGAAAGTGCCTATGCTGAGAGGATGCCTGTGACCTGACACACAGCAAGCAACCCTGCCTACCATGCCGCCAGAATGGGGAAAGGGGTTGCACTAGTCCCCCAGTCACTTCCTTCCTAGAAAAATCCATGTGTAGCCATCTCACCTTGTTGATTTCACAGTTAAGTCTCTGTCAGTTTCTTTCACTGCACTGGCTTCTAAACACAAACCAAATCCTGTGTTCACTGAAGGGTCAGTAATTTGTTCTGGCCCTTAAAAGAAAATCTGTCCTTGTTGAGTGACTTGAATTCTGAAGTGTAATTCTGGATTATACATCCATTTACATTTTACATACAGACTTCAGAATCTAAGTCCTTCTGGGGTGTGAGTTGGTTCATTCTACATTTCTCTGGCAAGACACAACTTTAGACCCAAGTAAAAGAATCTGGTGTTGGAGATACTCTATTTAAAAATAAAGGGTCCTCCCTTCCTAAATGCTCCCCAAAATTTGCAAGGCTGTGACCCCAATGAATCCCACCAGGAAGCCAATCCTCTGCCCACTGCCAGGCACCTCCCGTCTCCACGGCAGCACTCCCATCCACTCACTTTGCTAGTGTACTTGGCGATGTCTGCGGCAACATCAGCGGAGGCGGTGGCGATGGGTAGGTCAGTGGTGACTGAAGCCGCAAGGGTGCTCGTGGACCCTGAGCTAGTGACCAGGGGTGACGACTGTGTGCTGGTCACCAGGGTGATGGTGGACGTGGAGGGGCTCTGTGTGATCTCCTTCTGCTGGACCGCTAAGAAAGCAAAGGACCCTGGTTATTCCACTGTCACAAGAAGGACCTGTCCCAACACAAAGCTGGGGTGAGAACAAAGTCCCTAATATTTGCCCTATGAGCTCTTCTTCCTCGGAGCCCTCTTCTCCATGAGGCCCTAACCATGGCCTATAAAGACCTGACAACCATCAAGTTTCTAAGAGTTCCACGTTGCTTGGAATCCCAATCCCCGTAAAACTCAAGGCTGCCAAGAGTTTAGTTTTCTCCAGCCAATACCTGCAGGTAAGGACCTCAAACCCCAGTCTCTGTTATGTGTCCATTAGCAAACCCATATAGGTGGTCATGGAGATGAACCCCTCTTCTTGCTTCTGATCACATTTAACTTCCTTCATGCTACTTAGCCCCCACTCACCCACTCCTTTATTCTTCTCCCTTTAAAATCCCCAGTCGCCTCCATACAAACCAAAGTTGACTTCAAGTCAAGCTATACTCTTTCCCATATTACAACAATGTATTACTGATTAAAATCTGTCCTTACTGCTTCAGTGATACAATAGCATATAACTGATTAAAACTTGTCCTTACCACCTTAACTACTGACAATCTTAAACAAAGAGCCTCTTTGTGGCAGTACCTGGGAAGGGTGACATGCTTATGAAGTGTCCAGACAGTGATAATCCCAACCTCAAATTCCCTAGGATTCAGCTCTGCCCCACCAATGTTTTAACCAGCAGGATCAACTCTACTCCAATTTTCAGAGTCTTCACCCACACCCCAACATACAAAGAGTCTGCAGGGAGCCAGTTCAAGATCTGGCCACCCTTTGTCCTCTTAATCCTGCTACCACTCAAGGGGCCCACTCATGAAGGTGCACCCCCCTGAGAGTTTCAGCTGATGAACCCAACCTTTCAGGATCTACAATGCAGCTTTCTCTGTGGAGTGAGAACTACATTGGTGCTCACAAAAGCCAGGCAAACTGCTAATGAACCCATCAGGTCTGTGTTCAGCCTTGTGTCAGGCCCACACGGAGCCTCCAGTGTGGCTGGTGGGAGTTTTGATTCTGCAACTTGATCAAATGGTTCTTTTTTTTTTTTTTTTCTTTGAGACAGAGTTTCACTTTGTCACCCTCGTTAGAGTGCCATGGTGTCAAAATTCATAGGAATCTCAAACTCTTGGGCTCAAGCAATTCTCTTGCCTTAGCCTCCCAAGTAGCTGGGATTACAGGTACCCACCACAACACCTGGCTATTTTTAGAGATGTCTCATTCTGGCTCAGGCTGGTCTAGAACCTTTGAGTTCAGGCAATCCACCCACCCTGGCTTCCCAAGTGCCAGGATTAGAGGTGTGAGCCACCACCCCTGGCTCAAGTGGTTCTTTTTTTGAGATATTGTTTCATGTTGTCACCCTCAGTAGAATACCGTGGCATCATAGCTCACAGCAACTTCAAACTCTTGGGCTCAAGTGATCCTCTTGCCTCAGCCTCCCAAGCAGCCGAGAATACAAGCACCTGCCACAATGTCTGGCTAGTTTTGTTTTGTTTTGTTTTGAGACAGAGTCTCACTATGTTGCCCTGGGTAGAGTGCCATGGCCTCACAGCTTACAGCAACTTCAAACTTTTGGGCTTAAGCAATTCTCTTGCCTCAGCCTCCCAAGTAGCTGGGACTACAGGCACCCGCCACAAGGCCTAGCTATTTTTTGGTTGTAGTTGTTTAGCAGGCCCGATCTGGATTCAAACCTGCCGGCTCTGGTGTATGTGGCTGGCGCCCTAGCCACTGAGCTACAGGTGCTAAGCCATGCCTGGCTAGTTTTAGAGACAGGGTCTCGCTCTTGCTCAGGCTGGCCTCCAACTCCTGAGTTCAAGCAATCCACCCACCTCGGCCTCCCAACATACTAGGATTATAGGTGCCAAGTGGTTCTTGCTTTTTTTATTTTTGAAACAGTGTCTTACTATGTCACCCTTGGTAGAGTGTCATAGCACCACAGCTCACAGCACCTCTAACTTTTGGGCTTAAGTGATTGTCCTGCCTCAGCCTCCCAAGTAGCTGGGACTACAGGCACCCACCACAACACCCAGCTATTTTGTTTTTATAGTAATTGTCACTATTGTTTAGTAGCCCTGGTATATGTGGCCGGCACCCTCACCACGGGTGAGGCACCGAGCCCCAAGTGGTTCTTGTTGCAGGTTCATCTTTCGCGTATGGCAAACCTCTGGTTATTAAGGTGATGCGTCTTCGCTATCAACTTCTCACGCTGTACTTTTCCCAAAATAATTCCAAGAGGTTCCCTCACGCACACAAGGAAACTCATACAGAGATACTCAACGCAGCGCTGCTTATAGTAGGCAAAAACTGAAAGCAACCTAAATGCCCACCAGCAGGGGAATGGTTAAAATAAAAATATGGAATATTATGCAGCAGTCCAAAAGAATAAGGCAGAGCTGTATGTACTGACACAGACAGACCTCCAAAACATGCTGATGCGGGTAGGGGGGAGCAAGTATGGTACCATTTTCACATTTTAAAAAAAAGAAAAAAGGACACAAAAAAGTGGTATTTGGACAGCATGCTATATATGTATAATGCATACATAGACATACATATGTATACATGCACAGAAAGGGGTTTCTAACGGTTGATAGAGGCCACCGTGGAAGGAAGGACAATGAAATGAAAAGTGAACGGGACAATAATTAAGCAGGTATTTCGCCCCCTTTCTAAAAAGAATATATGCATGCATTCATTATAAAATCATTTTAAAATGTTAAAATAAAAAAAGCAAATAGCAAAATAAGTTTTAAAAATAATGCCGAATGAAACGTGTAAGGCCTTCAGGATACAACCGTGGGCCAGGAAACAAACGGGAATTCAAAAATCAAGCAGCCATGACTTTTCTCCTGTCGATGTGGCAAAAAGGGAGCAGGTGCCACCGAGAACAGAAGGGAGGCTCGGTACCTTTCACGGCCTGTCTGGTCTGATATCGCGTCCCCTGGGAAGACTGAGGCTGCTGCTGCTGCTGGCGCTGGATCTTCTGCATGTGCCACTTTTGGGAGGACGTTTGAAACTTACTTGAGGAGTTCCACACGACCCGCTGCACGGCCGGGGCGGTCTCCTTCGGTAAAAGTGGCCTCTGCTTTTTCACTGGGCTTCCTGTGGCGGCAGGGGCAGGGGCCGGGGCTGAGGCCGAGGCTGGGGCCGGGGCTGGGGTCGGGGCCGGCGCCGGCGCCGTGACCGTGACGGTGGACGTCGCGCTGGTGGTAGCTGTGACACTAGCCGCGGGAGTTTGGGAGGAAGAGCGGGTGAGCACCGGGGTTTCAGGGGGAGACTGGCTGCCCGCTGTCGTGGACGGTGGAGCTTTACCTACAACTAAAGCCAATGCATGAAGGAAAAAAAAGAAAAGAAAAGAAAAAAAGAAAAAAAAAAACGAAAAAAACAAAAAAACAAAAAAACAGAAACTAGATTGGATTCAGGTTATCCTGGAGGATCTTCATACCAGCAAGTTTGGGGTAAATGCTACATCAGAATGCCAAGAGACCTCAGTGTGCCAACCACACCCCGATGGAGGCACACATTCTCACCCTTACGCCTCCTCGGCAGCACCTACTCTCTCCTGGAGGATCAGGCCTCCTTTACTGAGCACTCGCTCACACTGGAGACACAAGTCAAGACCCCTGGGAGGAAACCAGGTAAGCAAGACCCACATCCTGCCCTGGAGTTGTCCACCAACTAGCGGACAAAGGAGCGAGCCGCTCAGAGAATCACAGTCAGTGCTTGTTTCACAAAGTCAGGATTTGACAAGCACCTTGAGAAAGACTCAACTGAAGTCCCTCTAGTTAAGAAGAGAAACCCTCTGGCCAGGGAACCTTTAAAGCAGGTACCCCACAAAACCAGATGGCTTCCCAATGGCTGAAGCACTGAGGAACACTGATTACCCAAAAGGAAAGTCTCACTTCTGATTCCCTCCAGGACAAAGTCTCCTGGTGGTGCCAACAGCCTTGAAAATGAATTCTACCTCAAGGACAGAATCTTCCCCCCCAGCACATGGTATTTATGAACTTAAATAGCATTACTTCTGTCTATACTGTATTTATTCCTGTCACCATCTTTTACGTATAGTGTACAGTAATTCTGGTTTTCCTATTGTGTGGAGGTCAAGTTAATGTTAAAAAAATGGAGTGTGGAGAAAAAAAAGAAAAAAAAAAAAAAAAAAGGAAGTGTGTGTGTTTAAAGAGACAGGATTTTGCCATGTTGCCCAGGCTGGCCTTGAATTCCTGGGCTCAAATAATTCTCTCACTCAGCCTTTTGAGTAGCTGGGACTACAGGTGCATGACACCAAGCCCAGTTTAAAATGAGTTTAATTATTTTTTTAAAGAGCAGGTTGCTTGAAATAAAAATATTAAGACAAAAATTACACAAGCAGGACTTAAGAATGGCAGAAACCATGACTATGAATGAGTCAAGTTTAAAAAACACTGCCATATGGAGCGTGTCTTCTCGGAGGAGCTGGGCCAGTGGGAATGAAGGGCAGGATTTCAACAGGCAGAAGTGAGAATTTGGAGGGAATAGCATTAGCCAAGATGTGTCTAGGAATAGACAACATTGGGGGTAAGTGAGGGCGGGCAGGGAGAAGGACTGATTGCAAGGCAGGTTAGAGTCAGAAGCACCGAGCAGGGGCCTGGAGGTGATGACCACGTGCATGCCTGTGTGCAAATGTGGGTGGGTTATTGAAGCAAAGGCCCCAGCCACCAGTGAGGGGAGCTTACTCCCCAGAGAGGATGGATGCCCAGGCAACACACACCAAACACAGCTGCAAGCCAGCACCCTGGATCTTAGACAATGCTCCTTGACATCACCCCCCTTTTTAATAAGGATTACACCTGTCTTTGCAGATTTCTATCACCCAGAAAAGCTGTGAGCTTCATTATATAAGAGTTTCAAGGGTGGCGCCTATGGCTCAAAGGGGTAGGGCACCGGCCCCATATGCTAGAGGTGGTGGGTTCAAACCCAGCCCCTGCCAAAAAAAAAAAAAAGAGTTTCAATAAGCTGTGGGTTTGTTTTTTGTTTTTTTGTTTTTTGAGACAGAGTCTCACTATGTCGCCCCAGGTAGAGTACCACGGTGTCATAGCTCACAACAACCTCTCACTCTTGGGCTTAAGTGAATTCTCTTGCCTTAGCCTCCCAAGTAGCTGGAACTACAGGTCCCTGCCACAATTAGCTGGCTATTTTTTGGCTGTAGTTGTCGTTGTTTGGCAGGCCCAGCTGAATTCAAACCCACCAGTTCCAGTGTATGTGGCTGGCTCCCTAGCTGCTGAGTACAATCTGAAAGGAGTCCGGGCTCAAAGACCTGGACCTTGGTGCCGAGCCAAGCTGTGGGTTTTTAAAAGCTGAGGAGAGTAAGGGGAAAAGATAAGCTGACTATTTGGGTTCAAGGGACTTTCTCAGTGGTAATCACATCTGGCTGGCCCTCCCGCACCTGCTCCCCTGGAGAGAATTTAGCCAAGCTAGTGGGCAAGAGCCCAGGGTGGGCTGGCGTGGAGCTTCCTGAGTGAGAAACCCTGATCCTTCCAGGATGACCTGCCAGGTATTGGACACATTCTCTGTCCCCTCCAGGTGCAGAGGAAGCACTACCTGGGCCTTCTAAGAGCAGGGCACAGGATCAATGCCTTAGCAGGGTTTCCAACCTGCAAAAGTGCCTTCAATGCCTTCTTTTTCTACCACATGACCAAAAAAATACACTGTTACTGTTTAATTAGCTAGCCTGGTTCCCCCCTGGGAAAGGACAACCACAAAAAGGTCATTTTCTCTTTCCTGATTCCCAAAGGCAGTTTTGCAGAGGGGATTAACTGCTCTGCAGGGGTCACAGCTGGATTTTTTTTTGGGGGGGGGTCTCGCTTTGCTGCCCAAGCTGGTCTCAAATGATAGTCCTGCCTCAACCTCCTGAGTTAACTGTGATCCTAAGCGTGTAGCCACCGAAACCAGTTCATTCTTCCAAATAAAAAAAATACAGTGCACAATCTGAAAGGAGTCCAGGCTCAAAGACCTGGGTGGTGTTATCATTAAGATAAACCCCAAATAAAGGGGCCACAGGAAATTTCATTTATCCTAGAAATTCAGAGTATACAATCCGTTATCTTTAGCGCCCCCCCACCCTGGCAAAAGGGGGTGAATTTCTTAAAGGGCATAGTATCCCAGAAGTTGCCTCATCAAGTTAACCTACTTATTCTAGAATTTGTCGATGGCCCCTGCTTTGCACATAAAGGCAGGACTTTTTTATGAGAAGAATTAGCATCCCCTTTGGAAAAGGATGGAAATGACTGATGTGCCAGGGTAAATACCATAAAGAGTCTCTAAGTGAGCTCCCTCTGCCTCTGTTCTGAGATTACTAGCTATAAAAGCTGTTTTACTAAGGATTCATTTTCTCCATAAGCTGCATTCCTAGCTGAAGGGTAAGGTCATCACAGCACACTTCAAAATGCCCTTCACTTAATAAACTCCTAAGTGAAAGCACATCACTAAAAAGATGCTCTACTGTGGAGTCCAACACGAAGATCATTCTTCAAGACCCCAACCACCATCAGGGGCTCATCTATAAAGATGGGTCCATTTTGCTCTAAGCTCGTGCTGCTCTAACTGAACTGTGTTTCAGAATCAAGTTGCATGTAACAGTCACTGTCTACTCGGGGCCTCCTGGAGAAATGTCTGTCAGTGCAAGGAAGAGCTCTACTTATTTTAACCATCTGGGATGCTTTTCATTTGGGAGGAAGTGTAAGGTCTGTTAAGGAACTAGGTGTGTTTCCTATTTTGCTTTCTCTGCTAGGAAGCTCAGAATCAAAATGAAAACCCAACTTCGCTAATTGAGAAGGGTGGAAATAGCGTGTGTTTCTGTATGAAACCTTTCTCCAGGCCACTCACTATTCTACCTTCATCTTCCTTTTACACTGATTTCTTTATTTTCATCTTATTTCATGGTTACGTACCCTTGTCAATCTGTTGCAAATTCTTTCTGGAAGAGGAAGGGGCATAAAGCTAATCAATCAAAAGATCTGTTCCAGACAGAAAGGAACAGTATAAACATGCCATTCACAGGGCACAGCCATCTGCACCCAAATATTCCCACAATCCTCGTAGAATAGATGCTACTCCGATTGTTCTCCCCAGCAACAAAGACAGTTCTCTCAAACCACAACCTAATTGTATTTTTCAGGGGCGATCCCTAAATCTAAGAGATGGCTCGGGGATGGTCTGAGGGTCTATCCTCCCTTCTCTGCTTTAATTGTGTTGTGTCTCTCTCTTCCTCCACTCTACCATTCAGAGACATCTCATTGTCTTTGGCTGAATTGCAGGAATCTTCTCTCTCCCAAACAACTGAGATTCTGGAGTAGCCCAGGCTGACATAACCACAACAGAAAGATTCACAAAGCTCATCTCAGACTTGCTTTAAGCTGCCAAGCTGCAGAAGCCTCAAAGGACACAGAATCACTTTTTTTTTTTTTTTGAGAGTCTCACTCTGTTGCCCTGGGCAGTGCTGTGGTCTCATAGCTCACAGCAACCTCAAACTCTTGGACTCAAGAGATCCTCTTGCCTCAGCCTTCCAAGTAGCTGAGACTATAGGTACCCACCACAATACCCACCTAGTTTTTCTAATTTTAGTAGAGTTAGGGGTCTCATTCTTGTTTGGGTTGGTCTTGGAACTCCTGAGCTCAAGCAATCTACCTGCCTCAGCCTCTCAAAATGCTAGGCCACTGCGCCCAGCTACAGAATCACATCTTACTCAAGGGTTTGGTTGCGCAGTTAGCTCTTGTCAGAAGATAAGTATAGTCAAAAATTACACCTGGCCATCCATCCCTTAAATCACTTGCAAAGCACATAAGATTTTATGGCTACAACCTCTAATCTGTCCTTCAGTTTCTTTCTTGAGTATGCTGGAACTCTCTCACAACCCACTTGCCAAGCCAACTGAAAAATGTACTGAAAACTCTGCGAGTGGGAAGGACGCCCTCCAAATCATTCACATACTCGCTCCTTCTGGAGGGTTTGCCAAATGCCTGGCTGCACTGGGCTTCAGGGCAATCGTTGATGGTTCAGGAAATATCAGCAGCAGCAGGCAGCCTCAGAGACTCAGGCAGTGGAGTGGTTCTCAACAGAGGGGGACTTTGCCCCACCCCCACACCCACACCCCACCAGAAATATCCGACAATGCTTGATGGCCACATTTTTGTCACAACTGGGTAGGGGCTACTGCCACCTAGTGGGCAGAGGCCAGGGACGCTGGAAAACATCCTCCAAAGCACCAAAACATTATCCAGAGTAAACTGTCACAGGTGCAAGATTGAGAAACCCTGGGCTGGGGTCAGTTAAATACAAAAAAGATGAAATACCAATACAGGCACCCACCATAAAACGCCCCTTGTTTTCTAGCGCCCCACCTACCCCAACAATATCCTATTCTAGTAAAAATACACTTGGAAAATGCCTGGGCGGCATGAGGGAAGGAAAGGTATATGCTGAACTCTTCGAGATTTCTGAACCGAATGCTTCTAACACCATTTGCTCCTTCTCACGTGGCTAAATGTTAACAAATGCTTCAGGGAAATAAGCACCCTGGCAAAGAAGCTGCTTAGACCAAAACGGATTCAGCCACTAGACTAAAACTGATTCAGCCACTAGAAACTTCCACTTTCTAAGAGACTTGTTTTTCTGCACTCAACCCCAACCCTGCTGGGCGCTGAACAGGTGAAAGGCAGCTGGGCCACATCTGCGTCCTGCTCAAACCGATCACGGCACTACTGTGCCTCTCTCGGTGCTACCAGAGGGTCACATAACTTCAGATAACACAAGTATGTGGTGGAATTCTAAACCAATTAAGAAACTAGAAACTGATGACAATCACTTACCATCCTGCTTGGGAGATGGTTCTTTGGGTTCCTTCTTATTTTTTCGACCCTCCCGCCCAGAATGGTCTTCTCCTAAATCTATGACAAGTTCACTCTCTGAATCGGAGTCCAGGCCCAAATGCACTGTCGGGGAATCCGTCTCATCTTTTCCCTTCAGTTTATCCTTTGTGGGATGAGGTGAAGGTTTTGTTTTTTCTGAAAAATCCTTCTCTGGCTCAGGGCTGGCCTTGTCCTTGACGGGTCCCAGATCTACTTTCTCGTTGGTTGGTGACGGGCTTTTCAGCTCCTCTTTAATCTCCACTGGGTTTCCTGGTTTGGGCTTTTTTTTGACAGCCGATGGCTCTTTGTCCACCTGACTTCCCTCTTTATCTTCTGTGTCTTCTGGTTCATTCTTGGGCTTCTGCTCATCGTCACTGATATACTCACTATCGCTACTGTCTGACTTGTCGGAATCCTCGGAATCGCTGTGCTCTACGGCCGTATAAACATCTTCTGAGATTTCATTGATGCCTAAATTCAAAAAGAAAACCCAGCATGTGGCGTAGTCACAAAATAAAGAGCAGGCCCAAAAATGCAAACATTTTCCACGCCAAATGCTGGAATAAGAAAACACATTTCAAATCTCATCACACTGGCCTGGTGGGATCACTAACTTGAGTATTAAACTCAAGTGGCAACTGGCTACAGCTACAAATGGGACTGGAGTTTGGAGACAGTTTCGGTTATTAACGTTCACAGGTGACATGGGACCTAACAATATAATTTTTAAAGGTATGCGGAGTTAAATGTCTTCAATACTGATGACTAGGATATACAGAAAGGAAGGACTGGAAGGGAACACCAGGGGATGAGACTGATCCAATTTACAGACTAGAAAATAGAAGCCCAGCAAAATCACTTGGCCTAGGACAACCATGACAGGCCAGACCAGAGCCCTGGGCTCCTGACCCACCACCGGCACTCTGCCTACGCGTTCCCAGAACATTCAAAGTCCTTGACTCTGTGTCTACAGCTCAAAGAAATAAACCCAAGTCTGAGAGCAGAGGTTGCAAACTCTCAACCCACAAGCCATATCTAGCTAGCAGACACCGTTCTTAGTTAAGAAGCAATGGTTTGGCCCATGGGGTATTTTGTTGTTTGCTTTTTAGTTTTTTAATTTAGAATTTGTTGCCCGATTCACAAATAGGAAAACTCTACATAGAAATAATTGTGGCAGGCTTCTGATGAATTAGGAGGAGAGGTGGCCACTCTGGCTCACCAGCCTGCCAGGCAGTGACTGGCTGGGAGCAGAAAAGGCACTGGTTCCTGCTGGCCTGAGGGCACACTGCCTGCAGGTGACTTGGGGCTTGGCCCTCTCTCTCTGGCTCCCTGAACTGATGCAGGGAGTCAACTGCCACTGTGCTTGTACTGATCTTCCATTTGCAGAGGAGCCAAGAGGCAAGTCACCTGCTTCTACGGCTCTCTTAAAAGGGAAGGGTGTAAAATAACAGGTGTTTCACACAAACAAAAATACACAAAAGTATATTTCTAACAACAGTTCTATTTACCCATTTATGTTTCCTGCTCCCAATAATACATCAAGTGTCAGTCATCAGGCTGCAGGTAAATAACACTATACCCTAAGGTTCTGAAGAGAAAAGAAAACCCAATCAACTCTTTGTACCATATCTCATTCTAGAACTCAGAGCGATACCACCGTGACAGGTGTTTCTGAAGTGACAAGGAAACACCAGAGAGAAGTCTGCCAAAGGACAACAGCCCTGAATGGCCTAGGGCACGGGAGACAAGCAGAATCATTGGAGAATTACATCCACCTCCCTAGGACTCAATCAAAAACACAAATCAAACTACAAAAATCCACAATTTGGGAAATCCTAGGTGTGTGCTACTGGCAGCTAATGGCTGGAAATGAGAAACAGGGCCAGGCATGTGACAGGAAAAGCTTGGGTGCCAAAGTCCAAAGGGTATGCACCCCAATCCTGCTTCTCTGTTTTCATTAGCTGTGTGTCCCTGAACAAGTAAACTACCTCTCTGAGCCTCAGCTTCTTCTGTAAAATGGGACTGATAGCATCATCCTCCCAGGACCATCTATACTCATAGTGCTTAGCACAGCACAGGGTATGTAAGAAGCACTCGGTAAATAGAAATATTTAAATTCTTATTAGCAATACTAACAAAGCAAGGAGTTAGACCAATTGCATGGATGTACCCAAGAGGAATAATTGAATGGCATACCAAATTTCACCCATGTCACTCAATGTCCTAATCAAATAGGCAAACCAGCAAGGAATGCTGTCCCCTGGACAGACCCACACGACCCCTAACTATAGCTCCTTTCTCATCCAAAGATCCAGAGCTCCCACAGATACCAGAAACCTCACCTCAGAATAGTTGTCTTTCCTGAGGTCCAGCTATCTCCCACTTCTTTATAAAAGCCCTCCTGGCTTAATTTACTTATTCAACAGATAATCCAAGGCACCTACTATGTGCATAAGACTAAGTACCATGAGAAGGCAAATCCTTGTAAAACCACCTCCCTACCTTCAAGGAGCTTCCAGTCTAGAGTGAGAGGGATATTCCCGCACAAAGGTACCACTGATGCTTCCCAGCAATAAGGAACCAAAGGTGGTGGCAGATAAGAGCAGTCAGGGGAGACTTCCTGGAGGAGGCGAGACCTGAGCAGGATTCAGGCAGGCAGTATGAATGCAGGTGGCACAGGGAAGAAGGAAGGAGGCAGCAGGGACAGAAGCAGGAAGGGTATGCCAGGGGAGAGCAGCCCCATCAGAAGGGGAAGGGTTTTGTGTTGGACACCTGTGGAACATCCTCAGAACCAATGTTGAGATACCTGTGTGTTCTGGGAGGGAACTCAGAGGCAAACTTAGGGAATCTTCATTTCCCTTTGTGCCTTTATACTTATACTTCAACCTATATCTTGAGTTTTCAGGTTGCCTTCACCGAAGAATAAACTCAGATGAGTTCAAAGAGACCTCTGAATAATCAACTAGCAAGTCTGAAATATTCTGCCGTGACTGGAAATATTATTTTAGTTGAACAAACATGTTCAAGGTTAAAGCAGCTGCTGAAAGCAGCCAGGATTCAATCTTTAATTCAACCAGGTAGTCTCCCTACAAGTTATATAATAAAAACAATGCCCAGTAAGAAACCAAAAGAAGTACCTAGTTGTGCTTTGCAACTCTCTATGGTCTTGTCAAGATTTAGCTGGAACCTGCTGCGAATCTGCCGCTTGGGAGAGATGAGAGGAACGGGCGCTGCCTGCTGCTGGACAGACTCGCTGAGCTCCTTCAAGTCCATCTCGGCTTTGCTTCGATCTGCAAAACATCAGACACCCTGGTGAGACCAGGCACAACAATGCTCATCACTCAGCTTCTTCCTTGCAAAGTCAGAGCACAACACACATTTCAGAACACAGGGGTAGGGAAGGGACCTAAAATTTTTTGACATTCTTCCCAACAATATCACCTGCTCAACAACACCAGGTGATGGAAAGATAATGGCCCAAGTGAACACATCCAGCAGACTTACTCAGCCTGCTGGACAACCTTCTGGGTGCCTTTCGGTATTTAAAATGGACAGTGCCAGCCACGTGGTTCAGTCTGTGGAACTCAGCATGCTCAGGGGTCCTCCCCAAAGCCAAAGGTTACAGTAGCATGTTCAATTTCAGTATCAGCAGATCGAGCAACACGCCGAGTCTGGCTGGAGTGTGCTTGTAACTTCAGGTCCAGATTAGAGAGGACTTGTACCCAAGAAAGATACCAAGCCCCTCAGAAAAAAAAACCCTGCTCAGGGCCCTGGAGGCCTCTTTCTCATGGAGGCCTCATTTTTCACTCTCAGTCAACCTAGTCTGGGGCTCACACTAGAAAGAGAGGAGAATGTCAAGTAAGACAGGTACACCTCCCGGCCGGCGTGCTGTCCCTCCCTGTGGCTCCCTGCATCTGTTTGGGGCAAGGTGAACAGATTAGCCGTGGACAATAAACTTGTGTCCACATGCTCTTCTCACTCAGGAATGAGTCCAAGGTCCTCAGTCTAATTCCCAGGCAAAGGCCTCTAGGGATGATTCAGGCCTGTTCCCTCTCTCCTGCCAAGGGCTCTTTTTTTTTTTTTTTTTTT